TAAATTGGCTCAATAATTTTAAATGGACATTCATATAATTCTTATTATATTTAGATGAAGATAACCATAACTCAGATTTACATCCCGATGATCCAAAAAATATTGTACCATTAAATCAAATAGAATTTAAACAGCGAGTTATCAGAGGACCTCATCAACCAGATTTAGAATTTTATCCTAGATCATCATTTAGTGGAACTCAGCGTTTATTTCAAAAATTCTGGTTTAAATTATTTTCATGGTTAGAATACAGTCCAAAGTTTGATTTGGCATTTTGTTTTCCATGTCGCATATTCAACAATTCTAATGGTATAAATATTGGTCAAACTGATAAGGCTTATACAACAACTGGATATAAAAATTAGAAAGCAGCTACCATCAAATTTAAAGCTCACCAAATGTCTAAAGTTCATTTAAATTGTATAACATCCCTCTCAAATTTTTTACATTCAAAACCAATTGATGTATTATTAGACGAAGAAAGAGAACTTACCCGAAGTCAGAGAGAAGAACAAAGATTAACAAATACGAAAGTAATTCAACGTTTAATAACGTTTAATCCACTATTTTTAGGGATTGGGGTAAACCATTTCGTGGACACGGTGAGAAGAAAGATGATGTTTATAAAGTTCTGTTTTTGGGAATAGTTGATTTTTTAAAAAAATACGACCCAATACTAAAAAAACACTTCGAAACAGGACCTAAAAATTCTATATACTGTAGTAATTATATACAAAACGATCTCATTGCATCCATTAGCACTSTGATTAAAAGACAGTTAAAAGTTTTATTAATAAAAGAAAAAGTTTCATTAATGGCTGATGAAACAAGTGACGTCGGTCACCATGGACAATTATCTGTTGTAATTAGATATTTTGATAAATTTAAAAACAGACCAATAGAACAGTTTATATGCATGAAGAGAATGATGATAGTTGATGCCACAAGTATATTTAATGCTTTAAATGAGATAGTTGAAGAGTATGAAATAAAATGGGAAAATGTTATTTCTACTTGTTTTGATGGTTCTGCAACTAGGAGTCCAGACAAAGTTCAAGGAGAAAAATCCCAAATCTTTTTTTGTACATTGCTATGGCCATTGCTTAAATCTAATATTAGTTGATTCTATTGGCAAAGACAATAAAGTGACATTTAACTTTTTCGGGTGCATCCAAATGATATATAACTTTATTGAAGGAAGTTGTACCAGGCATGCAGTTTTTGAAAATGTATCAACGTTGATAAATATTAAATTGAAGACTTTAAAATCATTATCAACCACTAGATGGGCATGTCGGTCTGAAGCAGTCAATGCCGTAAATAATAATTATTCTGATTTGTTGATTGCCATTAAACAAATTACAGATGATACTAAGCAATCAGAAGGGCTAAAGGACTCAGTATCATTAACCAAATGGAAAGTTTTGAGTTTATTTTTGCTATGCAAATGCTAGATCCAATTTTAAATTTAATTTTACATGTAAGTACAGTTTTACAGTCATCGGACACTCGTAAATTTATTAACAGCTATTGACCTTGTTAGGTCATTAAAAAAATCATTAGAATCTATGAGAAATTATGGAAATGATTTTAAAAATATTTACAATAACACAGAACAATTGTGTGAAAAAAACTGTATCACTATTCCTGCTGTTGAAAAAAAGAAAAATATCATCTAAAATAGATATCACGACCAACCAACATTTTATGTTAAGTAAAAAATATGAAATGAGAGTAAATGTATATTATCAAACACTAGATCAGTTGATAGCTGGATTAAATTTAAGATTTAACCAAGAAACGATAAAGATGATAGAAAGTATGGGTCGTTTATTGAAATTAGAAACCAGTAGTGATGATATTTTTCTTCTTTCATCTGTATTCGATTTAGATGCTGCTAACTTAGAAACCCAAATTCGTCTACTTAAACAATCAACAGACTTATCAGAAAGTAACGATTATATTACTGTAATTTTTTTAAACTTTATTATTTTCTTTCGTTAGATTATATTATCTTCAGTTTTTTTAATTCAATTAATATTTTTTAAACAAATTATATTTTTATATCAACCAATATTTTTTAAATTTAATTATTTATTTTTAATTAAATTACATTTTTTATATCAACCAATATTTTTTAATTAAATACTTTTTTGGTAACCAAATTATATTTTTTTCATCAACAGATATATTTATTCAATACAACATGTTTTTTAGTTGGATTATATTTTTTATACTCGGTTTTTTAATTCAATTAATATTTTTTAAACAAATTATATTTTTTAATCTAACCCATCAATATTTTGCGAACGGTTTACTCACAAATCCTGAAATCGGACTCGCAAATTAGAGGCTATCATTTGATACCAATTTCAAAGTTTTAGGACAACATGGGTGGGCTCCGTGAATTTGGCCCACCCATTTTTATTTTGCTTGCTGCTCATAAACGGCTGACTCGCAAATTCTAAAAGTGAACTCGCAAATAACTTGCAAAATATTGGTGAAGATTTTAAGTCGCTATTCCAAAGTGGGTGGGCCAACTTCACGCACGTCCAAGAGGTCCACAATATATGTTTCATCGACTCCAATAAATTTTCAACAAAACGTAACACCAGAGTATACTTCAATGAGTAATACATCAGAAACTCAGTTTATCTTTTTTTTCAAACTATGGTTTAAATGATTAAACTTTTTAACTACTCATTATTTTGATTAAAAGTATTTACTTATAAATATATAATATAAAACTGAAAGTTATTGTTTTTTTTTTTTTCAATTGATTTTGATTGTTTAATATAAAAATATAATACATTTTAAATGACGTTATGTTGACTGTTATTTAATAAATATTTAATTAGTTGTTTCATACTTTATAGTTATAACCAACATCTCTTTTGATGGCACGCACAAACGTAATTGCGTATCTTGACGGCGAATGAGATCTGCTATTTGGTCCAATAATAAGTTGAATGTTCCAAAACTCATGCGAAAATAGTTGAAGAACTTAATTTCGTCTTCTAATAATTTGTTAAAAGTTGTATAAAATGCACCTTCCACATATCTAACTTCTAACATGGGATGAACCCAATACCTCCTTGTTGAGGATTGTTTATTTAATTTACGTTTTTTTCGAAGACGCAACAATGCAAGCAGTGCTAACCTTTTTTTATTGTTATTCATTTTAATTAATTTAAAAGGATACGCATTCAAGTTAGGTACTTAGGTAATAGGAACTACAAACTAGTATTTTAGAGACAGTGTACACGAACGATTTAAGTACGAAAATCAGTGATCAGGTGATATCGTTCCTCACCGCCGACGATAATATCGGTCATAATGTACAAGCAATATCGTCATACACCACCTACGACAATATCGGTCGTAATGTACAAGCAATATCGTCATACACCACCTACGACAATATCGGTCGATAATATCGGCGAGTGTGAATACGCTCTAACACCCACGAGAATGATCGTTACCTATGTAGAAATTCTACTGTAATTATTTTGTTCTTGAACTCACAATTCCAGTTTAGTGCCTAGCAACTAATGACATGTACCATATATACGTTGTTAGTAAACAATATTGGAATTCATTTTCACAGTGTACGTTACGTATTAACATATAATTAACATTCACCATGAAAGAGGATTCGTCAGAAATACATTCTCTTGAACCGAAATACTTCTTTGGGTTAACCATTGGCTTGTCTAACAATTGTTTATTCATAAACGACGAAAAACTCGTTTACCATGCATCCGGCGTTATTGTCATACACGATTACTCAAATAATTCTCAGAAGTTTGTGTACTTGAACGAACCACAAAAAGTCATCACAACAATGGATATTAACAATAACAAGTACACAATTGCACATAAGTCATACAGTATCTACGTTTTTAGTTCTTACCTACCTACCTATATCATTCCTGTGATGTAACATATAACATGTATAGGGATCACAAATGCTAAAAATAGTCAATTTGAGACTATAATAGGTACAGTAGACGTAAAAATAATAAAAAAGAATTAAATATTAAAAAAATATCATTCTTTTTTTCTGGCATGAGCTTATACGCCATTAAAGCCACTCTAGCCACAGMTCTGTCAAATCCCTGGCTAACCATAAAATCTATACTTAGATTTATTAGATTACCCAATAAAGTTTGAGAGATTTTTTCTCCCGTTAAACTAGTTACAGAGACAAATTTAAAAAAAGCTTCACATAATTTCTACATAGCAAACACATTAAAGCTCGGGACACACTATTCACACGCCACGTGTTAACATGCCTTTACACGCCACGCGATAACACGCCGATAATTTTAAATCAGGTGTTACACAGGTTATTTTTAAATATTATTTGTTTATGTGATCATATTTATAACACGCAACGTGTTCCCACTCGATTCCACGCCATGCGTTTCAAACAATTTTGAAAAACGTGTAACGTGTGATAGTATCGTATTATTTAAAATACCATCATTCTACTCCAGACATCGGGTGACGCTGTTTGTTAATCATTTATTTTCAGTTAGTTTCTTAATTAGAATAAATTTATATTTTATAATGTCTTCATTTGAAGAGTCATTAATTGAAAATGTCCGCGAACACAAGTCTTTATACGATGTTTTTTGCGCTGAATATAAAGATCAGAACATTCGTAAAGAGGCATGGGAAGAGATTGGTACAAATTTACAAATGTCAGGTAAGATATTAACTCTTTTTAAAGATTGAATCAATAATCAATAATAATATGTAATACATACTTGTATTTGTATATTGACACATATTGAATTATTGATATATTATAGGTACACGTTATACTTATTTATACTAATTATGCAGTTGTGTATCATATTAAAAATAAATTAATAAGTATTAAATGTTTATTATATTTTTATTTTTTGTATACAAAATATAAAGAATAATTTTTAATTTTACGAGTAAATAATTTTAACAAGGTATACATTTTCTTGATTCTCGTTGATCAAATATTAATTCGTCCTCTCCGAACCATCTCGTACTGCCATGATACTGCCCCAACAGACGATAAAAAAAAAATCTTTATACTTCTCACGTATTTGAAATGATCTCTGGGTGCTATTCCCTCTTAACGGTTCCATATTTCCAAGAACTTCGGTACTTTCATAGCTATTTATTTCTTCCAACTGAAAATCATGACTTTGGCATAACATATTATGAAGACAACATGCAGCAAGTACTATTTTGTCTACGGATTTTGGTTGTACTTGAATATTTGTTCTGAACACTCTCCAACGATTTGAAAGTATTCCAAACGCGTTTTCCACTACACGTCTAGCGCGAGAAAATCGGTAGTTAAAAATTTTGTTTCCTTCATTTCCACCTAAGGTTACCCTGCTATATGGTCGCATAAGATATGATTTCAAGGGAAATGCCTCATCTGCAACAACTACGTATGTCATTGGGTCTCCATTTTCTTCTATCGGTGTATCAGGTGGAACATCTAATGTATCATTTTCTAACGCTTTTTCTAACGCAGATTTAGCAAATACATTTCCATCAGAATTCCGACCATATGAACCCACATCAATAGTTATAAATCTATAGTGTGCATCTACTAAAGCAAGTAAGACGATCGAATTTACCCCTTTATAATTAAAATATGCCGATCCACTATTTATAGGACATTGAATATTAATGTGTTTGCCGTCAAGAGATCCAATACAATTCGGTAAAATTCCATATTTCCTTATATTCCTTGCTAATTTTTTGCCAATCTTCTTTGGTGGGTTTCGGCATGTAGATGGGTCTTAATGTTTTCCAGATAACCTCACAGACCTCTTCAACAATTTCTCTGGTTGTGCTAAATCCCAGACGAAAACTAAAGGCTAAAGACCTATAAGATTCMCCAGTGGCCAAAAATCTGTAAATATTTAAATATCTATAAGTTAAAATAAGAATGTTATACTTAAAATGTAATATTAAAATAATGGGTAATTTATTATAAGATATTTTTTTACCCTAAAAAATTATATACAAAAAAGCGGGTAAGTGAATGTCGCTCTGCTGTACATGGGTATAAGTACATAAGTCGATTACTGTAATGAATGGTATTAATTTGAATTCAATGATATAATATCATTGTATACGAAAAACGATTCTGAGTGGAGACGGTTTGTCAGTCTAGAATATGTTATACTATATTAATTATATTGTTATTATTTTAAAAAAAAATGTAGATACCTATAAAATAAATTCCAAATTAATCAAAGTCATTCATAGTAGGCAAATGTCTATAAATAACTTAAAAAATTTTGAAATATGTTGAACATTTTATCAATTATAGGAATTGTGAAAATAAATATTTGGTGTAAATTTCAAGTTTCTACAATTATTCGTTATTAAATAATAACAAAATAAAAATATCGGTACCTAAAACAGAAATTGAGTGAAAATATCCAATATTGTAATTCAAATGCTCATAAAAATTTAATTTGACTTTCCGGCAGAAATTTTTTATTTGATAAAAGTAGACAAACTCATGAAGATCTTGTATTGAATTTCTAAACCTTAGATTTAAAATGAAAACATTTTATGAATTTCTAACTCAAAATAAATTGCGAATTTTCGTTATTTTTACGTATATTGTCGAAATTCGAACTTTAAATGCTTATTAAAAAAAAATTGTGATTATGTATTTTTATATTTTTTAACAGTCGTTGTAACAATGTATTAGGAATCTTGTATTCAATTTTGAAGCTTTTTTACCCAATGAATAAAATTCTACCGTCATTTATAAAAAAAAAAACTAAAAAGATAATTTTAAAACGAAGAAGAAAATTTCAAATGTCTATAAATAACTTAAAAGGATTCGAAATATTATGAAAATTCATATATATTTAAATATCTAGTGAAAATTTCATGTGCCTATCGTAATTTGTTTTAGAGTTACACAAATATCAAAATTCGATTTTCTCAAAAATTGATTTTGCGTAAAAATTTCCATTTTCCTTATTTTTTTTTTTTTTTGTTGTTTCCTGTTATTTTGAAAACTATTGCAAATTTCCAAAAATTACCTTTTCAACGCATCAACTAAATTCACTTTCCAACCGGAAAAGCTACTGAAGTTGTAAATCGAAGCATTATTTCAACAACCTATCGTGCACACACACACACACACACACACAAATCAATACATTCATTGCTCCGCTCAGAATCTAAAATATACTTAAAAAATTTTAACTACCCACGAATACCACGAATAATACTTTTAATTCTTTTAAATTACAAGAAAATAAATTAAATCATTATTTTTGGTTATTTAATATGTAATTTCGTCCAAATTCAAACTTAAAAATCAAGTATGGGAATTTATATGATGTACATAATATAATACAAATTTCAAGTATTTCCAGTTCATAGACAGTTCATAAATCATCAAACAAGTAAAAAAATATTTTTTATAATAGCTGAAAAGTGCAAGTTTGAATGGACTAAATTGCGAAACTGTTTTCTAAATGCTACCAGAAGACGTAGAAATAAGACAAGTGGTCAAGCAGCCAAGAATATTCCACCTTGGAGGTTTTCCCAACAAATGGAATTTATATTGCCCTTTTTGGAAAACCGAGAGTAATATAATATATTATAATAGATAAATATAACATATAGATGTTGTAATACTGTATACTGTATAGGAACACTTGACAAATTAAATAACTTTTTTTCAAATCAATATATCTTAATTTGTTTTGCACCACGCATATAATATACATACTTCGCAATTTTTTTTTTTTTAATACGAGAAATAAAAATTTAAATCTGATATGAAATTGCCAGTTTGTAAATTTTATCTTTAGAAAAATGTTGATTGTAAAAAATATTTATTTAAGCTTATTGTAGTTTGTGGTTTAAATTTTTTTAAATTTTTTTAAAATTTCTTTATTTTTGTTGAGTAAAGTAAAACATACAGTTTTAAATTCAAAAAGTATAAACTTTTTGAAAATATTTTATGAGATTTTTTCAAGTACCTACCTATATATTATCTTTAAACAAATCTTTTTTAGATATCTGTTTTTCTTTCTTTCTTCTTTTAAAGAAAATAAATACTTTACAAATTAATAAGTTACTTCAAAAAAATTAAAGTTTTAAAAACTAACCACTTTACTTGGATAGGTAAAAAATTTTACAGTCAAAAGTTTTTTTAAATCCAAATTTATTTTAATTGCTAATTGGCTATTTAAAAATATCGGAAACATTGTACAATAGATTAAAAAAATAGAAAATTTTATAATGAACCTTGTATTACATTTTCCGGGTTTTTAACCGTGCTAAAAAATTGTTATMAACATAAGCTTAAAAAACGAATAAAAATCGAAAACTTCTGATACCATTAAATAGGACGTAAAAATATTAAAAATATTTTCAAATGTTATGGTACAATAATGCTACCTATATAGAAAATTTAAATATGAAGATTCAGTGTATATTGCATAAAATATAGATACTATAATATACTAGTATAGACTACTAGTCGTATACAGACTATACAGTCATGAAAAAAAAATAATTTCATCCATTCTGAGCTATACGTAATGCACGAGTCAATAAATAATAATAAATATATTTTTTATTATAACTAAAGTAATTTAATTTGTCAGGTCTTCGTGTTTTGCTCTGCATAACAATAGATAAATAAGCATAAAACAGTTTAATATTATTTTATTTTGTTTAAATTTTATTTTATAGAGTACATAGTAATGAAACTGGTTCCTCCCCGAGTAATATTCAGAGACCAAATGATGATGATTTTTCCGAAACAACTGCAGGTAATACTTCCTATAATTTAAGTGCTGAATCACAACCAGAAATGATAAATTCAGATGTAGACAAGAGTTTTGAAAACAAAAAAGAAATTGGCATGAAAAGAAAAAAACCARATCACGCTGGRGAGTTGGTGGATATATTGAGGGAAACTGCATCTTTAAGAAAAGAAAGATTAGAAAAAWAGCAATTTTCTGGGCATGACGATGTAGAGCTTTTTTATTTAAGTATGGCTAAAATAGCAAAGCGACTAGGTACCGAAGGCAAAGGAGGCTAAACTTCGTATGGATGTATGCAATAAGGTTTCGGAAGCAGAATTGGCTCATTTAGTTGAGATTGAAAGAGTCRATCAACCAAACACAATATTAAACCGTCAAACCAATCCAGTATTTTATGGCACTCAACATTTACAACCTCAAAATTTGAGTTTGCAAGAACAAAGTGAAGGTAGTTGGTCTACCTCGTCATCGACACATTCAAACAGCCAGGCTTACGGTTATGACAAGCAAAACTACTGTCGTCCAATCCTCGACGCCAACTTACGTCTTAATAACCAACAGCCTTTCGCGTACATATCAGAAGAAAGTTCTTCTAATCAATACGAGTCCCTTAATTAAGATATATTATTAATAAAATAACACGTTTCATAAAATCTTTTTGTTTTCCCAAGTTAAAATTTTTTTTTCATATAAATGACAATATTTATTGTTATATTTGTTTTACATTCATTTTAAAATCAAGTTAATTTATATAACTACAATTCTTTTATTTTTGAGTGAAGCAATTTCGCTATTCTCTTTTTTTATATTATATGAATACACTATTTGTTTCCTTATAATTATTATTTTGAATTTGTTTAAAACATAATTTATTAAAAAATGTATTTTAAATATTTTAATTTATATATTTGCAAATAGATAGTTATTAAAAAATGTATTTTAAATATTTTAATTTATATATTTGCAAATAGATAGTCTTTAGTTTATTACGATACACATTATAAATGCAGGCTGTTGTCAAATTTTTTTTTACGTTCATTTTTAACTTACTGTTTTTATTAAAAGTATGTAAGCAATTTAATGATAAAATACTTAATTTAATGTTCAATTGTTTTGCAAACTTCTTTGTGAAAAATTATTACGTCTTCTTTGCTTAATATTTATATTATATTATATTAGTACCTATACAAACGAAAAAAATATTAAATTGTATTAATTAMTTACCTTAAGCAGACAGCTAATCTCTGTTCAGATGGTACTGGTGCTCGAAATTGTGTATTTTGCTTTTTAATATCGTCCTTTATCAAATTATGCAAATAAGTGAATTGATCATACGACATACGAAAGTATCGATGAAACTTTTCCGGGTCATTTATTAACTGAGGAAATAAGTTAACAAATACGCCTTTTTCATTCCTTTCCATGTTGATAGGGTGTACCCATAATCTGCGGTTCTTAACTGTTTGATTTAAAATATATRTTGCTACAACCGTTTCTTCTATTTCTTCTATCCAATCGCTGTCAGAGGAACTTGATGAATAAKCCATAATGCGTTGACAAAGTTTACCTTACTTCTTTCGACAACAAAATGGCACTGACTGACAAAAATTTGCTTGTAAAGTGTGTTACCTAAYTGTTTTAGTATACGATTCTATCACACGCGTTTTATTAATGTGTACAGTGCCGTATCACACGTCTTACCACGGGGTGGTATGTAAAGGCATGTTAACACGTGGCGTGTGAATAGTGTGTCCCGAGCTTAAGAGACGCTTTTTGAAATACCTATTAATTGTTAAAATATTAAAAATAGTGAATAATTTATACTACAAAAGTTTTTTTTTTATTTAGAAACATCTATTATGAGTTCACAATTGTATAATTGTTAACACCATTTTGGGAATTTTAGGGGGTCAACTTTAGAAATTCAAATGGAAACCTATACTTTTTTTTGCAAACATAATGCGGGGGAATTTTTTTAAT